TGTCTGAGAGACATGTAATGTCCATGTTTGCTGCTGAAAGAGACTGATGGTCTGACCCCCCTCCTCCTTTCAGGGTGGAGCCTGCTGGAGGCCCATTCTTGACACCAGGTCTGAGGAAGTGTAAGTGTGTTTTTCATCTGATTCATGACAACAAAGCCGCTCACATTCAACCATCTTCAAACTGTCACATCACTCATTCAGGATCATCAAAGATCAATAAATGATCAATAACTGCAGCTGGATTGTGTTTGTTCTCTCCATCAGATTCCTGTCAACTCACCATCGACACAAACACAGTGAGCAGAAAACTCAAACTGTCTGAAGACAACAGGAAGGTGACATTTGTGGAGGAGCTTCAGTCATATCCTGATCATCCAGACAGATTTGATTACTGGGATCAGCTGCTGTGTAGAACTGGTCTGACTGGTCGCTGTTACTGGGAGGTCGAGTGGAGAGGAGATGTTGAGATATCAGTGAGTTACAGAAGAATCAAGAGGAAAGGAAACAGTATAGACTGTTGGTTTGGATATAATGATCATTCCTGGAGTCTGAGCTGCTCTGATGATGGTTACTCTGTCTGGCACAATAACATAGAAACTCATCTCTCCTCCTCCGTCTCTAACAGAGTATCAGTGTATGTGGACTGTCCTGCTGGCATTCTGTCCTTCTACAGAGTCTCCTCTGACTCACTGATCCTCCTCCACACCTTCAACACCACATTCACTGAACCTCTGATTCCTGGATTTGGTGTCTGGTTCAGTTCTGGTTCTTCAGTGTTTCTTTGCTGATTTGAGTCTAAAGATTTTCCTCCTGTCAGAGAAACTCTCACTGTTGAACAGATAGTTCATCTCTAGTCTCTCTTTCACTCAAACACATTTTCAGATTCATGGATTAAATCTTCTCCACAGTGAAATTCCACCAAGTCTTTCATAAAATTGAAGCTTAAATTATTCATGTTTTTCTGTCTGTTTCTCTCTGAATACCAGGATGTTGTTTTTCTTTCTTTTCTTTTCACTTTCATTCATCAGTCAGATTTTATTGAAATGTTAAGTTTTTCTCAATCACTGGATATTTCATGTTTGTGTCGGCTCCTCTTTTTCTAAATATATCAGATTAAAATGTTAAATGCTCCTTTTGTATATTTCGTGCAGTTATACGTGTGAAATATTTTGTAGAGATCTGGGGAAACTCAAATCAAACCAACACTGAATCTGTCTATACTCCAGAAGAAAGATGTCTGAATAATAATGATAGCTGCATTACTTTCATCCAAGTAATGAAACATTTTTTACAGTGCAAACTTTAAAATTGTATGATTTAGTAGAGATTATAACAGCATTGACCATGTACAAAGCCTATAATTTTGTATCTTCCATGGTGTAAACAAAAATGCTTAGAAATTAAAATTAAGAGAGGTTTTATATTTTATATATTTATATTTTAAAATATCAATGTCAGGATGAATATTAAAAAAAAATTGTGATAGATATGGAATAATTGTTTTGAGGTGTTAAAACTCCTTCACTCTTTAAAAAATAGTAAAAAAAAATTTTATATCAGGTTTTATTATGTTTTTATGAGTTTGTCTGCAGAATTATCTATTTTTGTAAATATTTCAGAATAAAATACAGGAAAGATTCTCTTGTTTTGATTTTAAGTGTTTTCTGGGTCTTTCATCCATCAGAGGTTAAATAAGTTTGTGTTTCTGCCATTGACATGAATTTAAATGTTATTTCTATACATGTTTTGTTCTGTTTTTTTGTTCTTTTTTGATTTGTGTATGTAAAATTTCAAATGACAGAAAAATCAAATAAATGAATATATACCTCTGAACTTGGCTGTGGTTCTGGTTCTTCTGGACCTCCTGATGAGTCTTTAATGAGTTCTTAGTGGTTCTGGTGGGTCGGCCTCTCCTGGAAGGTTCTCCACTGTTCCATGTTCTCCATGTTGGATCCTGGTTCTACTGAGGTTCTCTGGAGTCCAGAACCTTACAGATGGTTCTGGAACCGTTTCCAGACTGATGGATGTCACAGACTTTGTTTCTCTGCTGGTTCTGAGTTTTTTAGATGATGTGTTGCTTTCAGATCTTTCATCCATCAGAGGTTCTGTTAATATAATTTATTGGACCTGCAGGTAATAATCAGGTCTGAGTTCACTGGGAGGTTCAGCTCAGCTTTATAAAAATGTGGTTTAATCACAGTTCAGGATTTAACAAAGGAGTGTGAATAATTAAAGGTTGGTTTTCAGATCTTTTCCTTTAATGAATAAAATTATTTAAAAACTGTTTATTGTATTTAATCAGTTTTTCTTCATCAAATATTAAAATCACTTTCATCAAATATTAAAATCACTTTGATGATCTGAAACATTTCAGGACAAAAAGGCAAAACAGCAGAAATCTGTAAAGGAGCAAATAGTTTTTCACAGCACTTCATGTTTCAGGTCCAAAGACATCAAGCGGTCCAGTCTGGATTTAGAGCAGAATGTTCTGTTGAAGGTGAGACTGGAGTCCAGTTGTTCTGGGTTTCTGGATGAGTCCAGAACCTTCTGGATCAACCAAACCAGATGCTCAGATCTTCTCATCTGGACCATCTGGGAGCTTCTGACTAAAACTACAGACATCAGGTTCAATGAGGATCTCAGACCACTGAGGCTAAACTAATAAACATGCTAAATATTAGCCACCTATGCTGCTCTCCATAGAGGCGTCTCTCAGTGGACTTTGAGGGAAAATAAAAACAAATCTGACAATCCTGAGGTTACTGTGAAGGTGGAGTTTCTTGTGCCCATCATTTGTTAAAGCAGTGGTTCCAGAGGATTTTCTGGGCCCGCCTTACAGACTACAATAAACCCACCGAGCCCCCCCACAATCCCTCCCAAAAAAAAAAAGCCTCTCTGTCCCATGAAGCTTCTACTGGTGCATCAAGTTGAACAAGTTAGTCAGTTTAGTTTGTTTTGGTAATGAGGGAATGAAACTGGGAAAACCAGTTGGACTCGCATGAACATTTGGGTTGGTCTGCAGATCCAATGTCAGATTGGGAGCTGCTGGGTGTGGAGAGGAGGCAACTGGGTTACTGCTGCCCTGGTTCTGCACTTCAGGCATCAAATCCAACTGGGATAAGAATTTACTGGTAGGGTGTCTTGGTATTCCCACCCAGAATAGCTGTGTTACTTTCAAAACATGGATAAAACAATTTTATGCCTGTAGCCCTGGAAATTTAAATCCAATACTTTGAGAACCATAAGTAGATTTGGTAAGGAAGTGAACCAGAAGGTCCTGAGGTTTTTCTCAACACAGCTGCTTGGATGTTTGACTCTTTTCACTCTGACATTAAACTACAAGAACAAAAATATTCCAGAAAGATTTAACACTGATTGTTTTAATTCAAAATGTCTGAATCAGTTCCTTCAGTTACAGATCATTTCATCCTTTACTGTACAAGGCTATAAAAAGTTCACAGCAACAGCACAAACATACAAAATAGTCATTTTTACCAAATTCATGTTTTTCCTCCTCTGCTCCTTAAATAAATCTGAACTCTGGTGAGGAAACGGCCAGAGCAAAAAATGGATTCAAGTCAGTTCATACAATCTTATTTACAGAGAACATGATCAAAGTGCTTTGAGGAGAGTCCTGATTTACAGTCACATCTGAGGGAGGAAATATATTTACACTGTTTACAAACGCTGTAACCATGGTGACCTCAGCAGCAATAATAATGCAGTTAACAGAAGAAACCCTAATATTAGCCACAAAGCATGATCAGAAATATTAACATCCCGTTTCATAACTAAATATTCGTCTTTTAGTCTCCAGTCTTGGTTCCCCATTAAGACCTGAGAACTTTGACCCGGTTTACATCAGAACCAGGAAACAGTTTGATGAAGATTCAGTTCTTCAGTCCAGGCTGAACACAGAAAGACCCTCAGAGAGGAAACTGATCTCTGGACAGCCAGACAGAGACCTGGAAGTATTCATATAATAAATAACATTTCCTCTTCACCACAGATCAGGACTTGATGCACTTCTGAAGGCTTGTGGTTGAAACTTAAGGGCTGCTGTAACGGCGAACCGTTGGCATGGAAACATGGAGAAAAAACTAAATCCTGAGATCAGGATAAATCATCGTCTGTGCTCACGATTGAAATCTGTGAAAAAAGGAAAATATTTTAACACTTTGCAAGAGGAAATGGCAGCAATTTAACATCTATTTACATTTTAACATTTCAGATTTAAAAAGTTACAGCCTTGCTAAAAAAAGCTTAAATTAAAATTTGGTTGCATCAGGTAAATTTTCAAGAGCACATTATGATTAAAAAAAAACTGCCAATGATTTTTTGTTTGCGTAAAATAAGATAACAGGCTTATTTATTTGGGTAGAGAACGACCTGATCGTCAAACATCTTAAAGTTTCAACTAGAGGGTCTGATGAAGCTAGAAAAGTTTTAAGTAAAACTGACCTGCAGGAGGAAATGATCTATTCAACCTGCAGGAGTTTCCAGGTCGGTCGACTCACCGCTGGGTAGGTGTGGCCCACGTTGGCGCCGTGGCGCGTGATGTCGATGTTGAGGTCTTCTTCTGTGGTTTTCAGGTAGACTGGGTTGTCGAAGTTCATGCTCTTCTGGTTCTTCAGCTGCCAGTTCCTCCACATCAGGTAGGCGCCGGCTGCAGCCATGGCCAGCAGCACTGCAGCAGAGAGGCTGGTGATAAACAGCTCTGACCTTCATGTTTGACCTCAGAGGAGGAGCAGCTGGACTTACAGACGGGTAGGACGGCCCAGGCAGCAGCAGAGCCTCTGGTGGTGGAGTCCACCTGGATAGACGTGCTCACATTGGCTTCTGGAAGAGACAAAAATGGCAACTTTCATACACCTTGAAGAGGTTAGGATGGGTTTATGGTCTATACAAAACCTGCCCTTCACATGTTTTTCATAACTCATTTATAAAGATTCAAGTCTGCTCAGTTCAGAATGAGCCGTTTTAGGGCCTCTTGTCACTGAATACAAATAGATGCACAACTACACAATCATAGCTTTGAAAAGCAGAAGTGGAGCCTCCTGCATAAAACATCCAGCAAGTGGTTTCTGGATGGTAAGCCAACAAGCCCCTTTTCTTTCCCTCTTGGTTGGGACGTTACATTTGGAAGGTTTTTGTAGAGGCTCATTTTCCTGAAGCTAAAAAATATTTGCCAAAAATCAGCAAAGTGCTTTGGTTGTTTTTTTATCTGGAGAGCTGAGAAAGATCTGCTTTAACATCTGGGAATACTGAAGACCCAACATTTATTATAAGACTTATAGAAACTTTAAGTCTAATTATTTGGTGGCATTTTATTGCAATAAAAATATATTAAAATCTCCATGCATTCAGAGCCTTATAAGACAGACACTGGTGTAAATCTAAAGCTCACATTCAAAACAAGATGCTGCATTAACTTTTATAGCAGAAGTAAAAACTTCCAGCAGGTTCTGAGATTTATAAACTACAGTTGGAGTCCAGCTCCATTTTCACAGAACATAAATGCAGGTTTTGAGCCAAAACCTGCATGTGCACTTCCCGTTTTCTTCCACTAGATGGTGCTCCTGTTCTAGATTAGTTCAGAGGCAGATTTAATTTAAACTCTTCAGCAGCAGAGAGGCAAGTACTGAATGTCACATTGTTCTCATTTAGCAACAAGTCACAAGGATTCCTCAGGTTTGTGATTAAAATTACTCGAGTAAAAAAAATATGATGCAGGGAAATTCAGTTTGAGTTAGAGCTTCACCATCATCCTCTGAGGAAAAGTGTCACTAGAAGAGGAACAACAAACCTTAAGCATTCAAGGTCGTCCCATTTCTGAGTTTTCTTTGAATGTAGACCAGATCTCTGGAGAGTAAACTGGTTTATCTGATGCATGAAATCAGGCTGGAAAACAGTCACTGTGGTTTAAACCTCCTGAACTGAACGGCTCCAACTTCGCGGTCTGGTTCTGTGGTGGGGTGATAACTCTGGTCCACCTACAAACCTCAGTCTGCTTTTGGCTGAAGTAAATGCTGGTGTAGTTTGAATGCATATATGAATGGACCACAGATCGCTCCAAAGCAGGAAGTGGACTACAGAGCAGGGCATTCTGGGTAGACAACCAAAAAACACCATTTCTGATATAGCAAAACAAATGCAGGGTTAAGTCAGTTTTGCTACATCATGTTACATCATCTTGTTTTTCTCTGAAAACTCAGTAATGATCATATTCCTGTGAATCACAAATAAAGAAGCTGCTGGAATTTCTGATGAGAAGCTTCAAGTTTGATCTGATCTGTAAATTAGTGGAGAAAATAAAAGGTTTTCCTCATGAAACGTAAACAAACCTGCCCACACAGCAGAGCATTATGGGATTTTAAATTTGTTTCTCATTGTAAACAATGTAAAACCAAAACATCTGACAGTGGTCCCCAAAGTGGGTCCTGAAGGCACCTGGACCAAATGATGGTTCATCAGAGGCCTGAGGACATCGACCTGCTGAGATCGTTGCTACCTCCAGGGAGAGAATAAAACATGCAGGAACCACTGGACCACGATTTCAGCTCACACTGAAGAACAAACACCACTGATCTGTAAAAGCGTCATTTAAACAAGAAAAACTGTCGTTTGTAGCTGTGAGTGGAGAAAAGCTTCTGTTCACTTTGTGTTTCTAACAGGATTAGAGTCGACTGGAGCTGCAGCCTCACAGCTCCACAGTTCCTGGTCTGCCAGATGAGGCAGCTGGGAAATGGGCCAATTAGTCTGCAGCCTTAAAGGGACAGGCACCAAACTTCAACAAAATGTGGAATAATGAAGTAAAGATGGACAGAAGAGGGGAAAAAAGAAACCAGGACGAATGTAAAGGATGCACTAGAGCTGGGTGATGATTTTATAGCCAAATCAGATTTTTGTTTTTTAAGATTCAATTTTTAAAAAATCTGGATTCCACTGATCTGTTGGTTTCTTAGAACGTCTCAAAAACTCCTTTAAATTGAGTCAAAATGACTCAACAACCTCAAGATGCTTCATTTCTCTGTTAAAACTTCCACAGATTCTGTGTTTCATGTGAAAGAAAATCTGGGAAACTGCAGTTTGCTGGTATTGCTGCCATGAAGACGGTCCAGCGATCTGCGAGTCCCGACTGGAACCAGAGTCCAATTAGTGCTGCGGATTCAGCTGTCAGGTTTGAAAAGGCTGTGAAAGGATCTGAGCGAAGCTGCAGGGAAAACAAAGCGTCTCTAAGCAACCGGTCGTCCAGCAGGAGGTGAAGGCCAGAGCCGCTCTGCCTTCGCGCCTGGAACCGCTAATTGTTGCAAACAATCCTGGAGCTGCTGCCGACATTTAACCACAACTTAAAACTCAAGACGTAAAGGTTCCCTTTGCTCCTCCCTAAACAGGCGAGTGGTACGTTTTATTGAAAACATGAAACCGATTTCAGCAGTAAAACTAAGATGGTGTTTAGAGGTGAAGTCCTGCAGCAGACCGATCCCTCCTGCATGTCGGGTCAGGACTCACCGGGTCTGCAGCGCTGGCCGTCTGCCGCCAGCTCCTGGCCTGCAGGACACACACAGCTGTACTTGGGGGAGTGTTTGTTGATCTGTGGAGCAGGAAGACACAAGAAGCTGCAGCCGCCGTTTTTCTCTGTGCACCAGTTGGTTCCTGCAGAGAAAAAACAAACTGAAGCCCAAATCCAGCTGGTAACCAGTCCTGGTTACAATGGGTGACCTTTGACCCCTTACCAGCCAGCTGGATCAGCTCATGGTAGACGATGACGTCCTGAGGGTCGTTCAGGTTGCTGGCCAGCGTGACGACATCAGAACCAGAGAACTTGTTGGCGCCGTAGATGGCTTTGTTTTCACCGTCGGTCCAGAAAACCCGATCCTAACAGAACCAACATGGCCGACTTTTATAAACAGCTGATCATTTCAGTGATCCATTAATCACTAAAAAATGGCACATTGTACAAATTTTAACTCATCCATTTGAGCCTTTTTTATAGTATATTAGAAAAGTATTTACTCTGCGATTCTTCAAAATAATTTTATTGTCTAAATTCCTTTAATGAAAATAAACCAGGTGACGATAAAAACGCCACGAGTTTGACAACAGACCTGAAATAGAAACTTTGTTTTTTCATCAAATGGCCTTTTTCAGTCTGTAATCATTTCAATCATTTAAAGTGAACAAAAACTTACATTTTAACTTATTTTGTAAATTTACATGTCAATGAATTTGACCTGAAGGCGAAACGAACCTCAAACACGGTGACGGCGAATGGATGAGCCAGATAATCTGCAGACTGCAGCACCTTGTTCCTGTTGTCTCCGTTCAGGTCGACGCTACTGAGCATGTGCAGCTTGGAGTCGACCCAGTAGAGCCGGCCTTTGATCAGATCTGAAGACATTAAATACATTAATAGATTTTATCATTTCAGCTGCAGGTTTTCATGTTGGAGACGTTTCGCCTCATTCCTACCCAGTGTGATCCCGTTGGGCCACTGGATGTCGGTCGCCACCAGAACCTGCCGGTCCGCTCCGTTCATCCCAGACTTCTCGATCTTAGCCGGCTCTCCCCAGTCAGACCAGTACAGAAACCTGAGACCAGAACAGTCCAGTCAGCGGATCAGAGCAGCAGTCGGTAAAAACCCAGAACGTTTCCACCCACCCAGATAAAGGATCCACGGCGATGGAGGCGGGTTCTCTCAGGCCCGTGTTGAACAGAACTTTCCTCTTGGTTCCGTTGAAGTTCGCCACAGAAATGGTTTTGGTTCCCAGATCGGACCAGTACAGGTTCTTGTAGATCCAGTCCACAGCGATGCCCAGAGGAGTCTGGACGTTATCGATCACCTTCTTATGGACGCCGACGTCGCCTCGCCTGTCCAGGACGGTGCTGGAAAAACATGGAGGTTTGAGGAAAACAGACAGTTTGTCACCTTTAAATGGTTTAGAGGAGTCGAGTTAGTCAGTAGTTAAAGATGGACATAGTCATCAAGATGCACAATTACAGTAAATAATCCAAAACTCAGCAGATGAGCCTCATTTCCCATTGAGCTGCGTTCACACTGCAGCCTGAAGTGAACCACAGCAGGTTTCTCTTTATGCAAAATGCATCTGATCTTTTCATGGTTAGAATTTATAAATATAGATCATGTCAAGAAAAAAAGAAAAGCTCTCCTAGTGCCAACAGTTGAAATGCACTAAACAAGGAGGGTCTTACTGCTGTCAATCATGCTCATGTTTAATAGCTCTAATAATGGAAAATGAACCCTGACTCTACCTGTAAATGGCCCTCTGACCCAGGTCGGCCCAGAAGATGGTCTGCTGGTTGAAATCTGCATCCAGAGCCGCGGCGTTTCTCTGCTGCTCCACGATCTGCGTGTACTCCTTCCTCTCCAGACCCAGACGGCGAATATCACGGCGGTTGGTGAAGATCAGGCACGGCTCCTTCCCTGAACCGGAGGAAGAGAAGTTTGTAAAAACCAGGAAAGGTGAAAAGGTCAAACTGAACTCCTGATGCTCACCAACAGCCTTGCAGACGCTGGTAGCCGGATCCATCTGGTAGCCGTTATGACATTCACACTTATAGCCGCCCTTCAGGTTGATGCAGATCTGACTGCAGATACCAGGATTCATGCACTCATTGATGTCTGCATCAAGAGACCAAGAGGAATCGTTTAGAAATGGAAAGCTGCACAACCACCATCTTAAAATCTCAAGTTTTCTTATAAAAGACATTTAAACCTCCAATTCCAGTCTTTTTTAGTCAGTTAAATATTCCAGCATTCAGTTCACTGCTGGTTGCAAATGGGAGGAAATGAAACTTCTGAAGGACGGATGGAGTTTATGCCAGGAGGGATTAGAGGACGTACAGATCTCCTGAAGACTGTCAGAAAACGACCTGCAGGATTTACCACCGAATGTTTCAGTGCAGAATAAACATGGAGTGAAATCCTGCAGCGTCGGACACGCCTCTATGGATCAGGATTTTAGTTTGAATTAGTCAAAACTGGACAGCTAAATGAAAATTAGTCAATGAGCTTTTTAAAGCCTCATTTCTTATTTGCAGGACAAAGAAAATTGACTTGAAATCCTTGAACTCGTCTGGTGACGCGCAGCTCGTACCTCCGCAGGTCTTGTGGTCGATGAGCTGCAGTCCAGGTGTGCAGTCGCATTCGAAGCCGATCACCACGTCTTTGCAGATGTGGGAGCAGCCGCCGTTGTTCAGGAGACACTCGTTCACATCTGGAACAAGAACAAAACCACGGTTACAGAAGGAGCAACACAGGCGTCTTCTATAAAATGTAAAAAAACAATCTGTGCTTCACACAGATTTGCTTTGGAAGCTGACGAGCCTCTGATGCTCCTTCAGACTAGCCAGCAGCATTTGGCAAACATCTGGTGGAACAGCTGAGCTCATTATAGCAGCTACTTCTCAGTGAAACGCTGGTAAAAACGTTAAAGGGTTAATAGAGAAGCCATGTTGTGATGACTTCCTGAAGCCCGAGTTTCAGGAAGAGCAGAAAGTTTTTAAAGAGACAGAGGGCCAATTTCAAGGTGTTAAACCAGAAAGTAAAATTTATTTTCAGTCTTGTTTGAGTTTCTGGATGCAGCAAATCTGACATTTAAGAGGATCAAACATTATAATTCAGGTTAGTACAGAAATACTGACTTTAAAATTCATCTCATCCTTTCAGGATCAACACAGAAGCTCCAGATGTTCATAATTTAGTCCCGTTTAAAACTCACTGCACTCGTTGATTGGCTCGTCGCTCCAGTCTGGACAGTCTCTGATCTTGTTGCACACTTTACTCATTTCGATACATTCTCCGCTGCGACACTTGAACTTCTCTGGCCCGTTGCACTGAGTCACTGAACAGGAAGTTAATCCAGATTATCACTAATCCAGAAGAGTTTCAATGCATGAGGACGTTTTGTTTTAAAACCAGTCTTACGGTTCTTGCAGTTGATTTCATCCGATCCGTCATCACAGTCTCTGTAGCCGTTACACTGTCTGCTTCCCTGGATGCAGCTGCCATCGTCACATTTAAACTTATCTGGTTCACAACTCCGCGCAGCTGCAAACAAACTACAACTTTACTTCCTGCTAAAGGAAAATCAGTGAAAGAAGCTGGAGTCGTTTTGGCATCATAACGTACGACAGTTGGCCTCGTCGCTGCCGTCCTTGCAGTCGGGGTCTCCGTCACATCTCCACTTCTTATGGATGCATTCTCCAGAGCTGCACTGCATCTCGCTGGACAAACACTTGGCGGGCGGCGTCGGGTGGCGGCCGCACCGAGCCGGAGCTTCATCTGACTGGTCCTGCAGAAACAAACAGTTTAAATCAGGATATTTTACTTTAATGCTAATATTTCAGCAACAATCAGAAAGTTTTTGGTTTTTCTAATTATGATTGAATGTATAGATGTGCATTAATGAAGGTTGTAGTTGCACATTTTTCATAATATGCAGTTTTCTGGATTGAATTGTGTTTTTCCACAACATGACATTTGCAGATAAGTTGGTGTGCATTAAATTTTCTGATTTTTGCACAGTAAAAACTTAGGTTTGCAGCTTTTTCAAATTGTTTACATGCAGATTAGACAAATCTGGATTTTTCACACCAACGCCCTCTTCAGGTCTCCAGAGACATCAGCTTGTTTTCCAGCTTCTGTTCATCTCAACTCGTAATTATTGAAATGAGCAACTTTATTTTATACATTTGTCTTTTAATTTTGCTAGAGGAAAAACAAAGTTGGAAATTGAATTTGGTATAAAACAATTGCTTTTTAAAAAAAGACTTTGCAGCTTCTTATCCCTCTAGTTTGATTGAATGTGTGATTAAGGACAGACATTTTCCACATGCAATTTTTAAGATTTTAAAAAGCACCATTCTGTGGCAGAATTTGTTTCAAATCATTTCTTATATTTGACACAACCATCTTGATTCCCATCAGAAACAAAAGTTCTTAGAGAATTAAAGTATTTTAATTCTGACCTGAACTCCACCTGTAAATCCCTAAAAAGCATCACCAGTAGAAAATGGCCGTTCAGTCCTCAGACCTGATGTTCCTCTTCGTTTCCTCTCACCTGACAGTCGACGTCGTCGTCACAGACCCAGTTGGCCGGGATGCAGGACGCGTTCCCACACTGGAACTCGTTGGGAGCGCAGGACGACGGCGCGCAGTCCACCTCGTCTGAGCCGTCGCCGCAGTCGTCCTCGCCGTTGCACACAAAGTTCTTGGAGATGCAGCGGCCGCTGGCGCAGGTGAACTCGTTCAGAGCGCAGGTGACGTTACCTGGAGCAGTCAGAGGGTTTACTTCAGGTTCTGATTCCAACTGCAGGAACTCTGATCCACATCCACTGAGGCAGAAACTGCAGTTGTGAACCGAGCCAACCAGGTTTCTGCAGCTCAGCATCCCATAATCAATACCAGCTGATCAGGCTGAGCTCCAGGGAATCCAGGAGCGTCTGCTGAGACATTTGGAGTTTTC